ACTCCGAGAATGTCAGGCTATATAATCATGATAGTAAGCAGTTGTAAGTTTGAAAGTTTGCCTCCTGCCATTTAATAGTGATGATAATTCCAATTTTCATTTCTGAATACCCCAATATATTTCTTGAATCATCTGTGGATTAAGCGTGTTCACATGTCCATCAGTTTCCGAGTGTTTGTCACAAGTATTTGTTGTTTCAGATAATAAACATTTTCACTAGGTATTGTTGTTAAAAATATGATTCAGGCATCTGGAACTTATAACTGGGTCATTACAATTTTAACCAAACCTCAAAATCCAAAGAATTTTGAACCCTGATTGAAAATAACACTTTTTTTCGATGCAATAAGAGAGTATATCAATAGCATTCTTAGTGAGTGAATGAGTTTGTTTTAGCGTGGCTTTGAATAGTATTCCAGTTATATCACAGTGTGTCAGCTTGATGTGGGAGGAAAGCTCGAAGTGATGCAGGTCTCAGATGTCTACAACCTTGGAGAAACCAAGGACCATGGGTATGGTGCTGCTAAACCTAGAAATGTAATCAGTGTAATGTATGTCTGTGATCTATCTGGCACACCTAAGGGATGCAAGTGTGCACAGTGAATTGCATCTTCCCGAGGCAAGGGAGTTAGCTGACTATAAAAGTCCAGTTTCCACCCTTGCCGAAACAGGCTGGCGTTACATTTTGGCTGGACTAACGAGTCTATGCATAGTTCAATCAAGATCGTGTGATGAACTAGACATCCGGTGTGTAAAAAACATGGATTTCAAAGTGCAGATTTCAGACGACTGTAGGATTTGCAAAGCATGTGTATCGCAATCTGGACTAAGTGAGATATTTTGCAAACCTTTTCATGTTTTTAATCAAGGTGCTCAAGTGATTTGATGCATGTCGTGAGGTAAGACCCGTTTTAGTACAATATAGATCTTGATTATCAATCAAATCGTCTTGACTTGGTGCCACCATTTTGTTTGAAGCAAATCCAAGTGATACGAGAGGTGGAATCTGATTGGTCAGTTGGAGGGACATATGAGGGGCGTTACTCGTAATAGCCACTGGTGGCGCTAAGATCGAGCCCAGAAATTCCAGCATAGTTTGGCAAGGGTGGAAACTGGACTTTAATAGTCAGTTAACACCCTTTCCTTGGGAAGATGAGCTAATTGTTGCGCCTTACACTTCTGGGCCACCTGTGCCCCAAGTAATATTTTGACCTGTGAGATGTTGAAGGAGAAGGTTTGTCCACACGTACCTGCCATGAGCCTTGAAAACTCCTCTGGAATATTGCTCTTTAGCCATTCCTTGCACTTCTCATAGTTGGGGTAGAACTCACAGTACTGTAACCAATGGTAACCAAGGTAATTAGAGAGAGGCTCAGACGCAATATCCTTAAAATCAGATCTTAGTTCTTGCTATCACTAAACAAAGATCTGAGGACATCCCATTACGGATCACGTCAGAACGACCTTTCATCCGACCAATCAAAGCGTCGCTTACCAGATCATGAAAGTGACAGTCGGAACGTGTTTTCTAATAAGGCAACCTCGAAAACGTTAACACGGGGTATTCAGAACGATAGTTACGGCCCCTATGACTGATTCCGTCTAAATTATCGTCTATCTCTCGCTTCCATGATAAACATTTCAACGGAGGGAGTGTTGCACAGTATGTGGGAAGCACTGCCATACAATCTAAACCATATATTAGACATTCCAGAATGTTCGTTTGTTCAGTTTTCAAAAGTTTTTCAAGCGTAGTCTGAAATGGAAGTCGCCAGGTTGAAACGAGTGCCATAAAGCTCGAGAAAGCTGCTTTCTAATTGGCTGATGTTGACTTCTTGTTAGTCATCTCAGTGTTCGTTAAAAGTTTGCGAAAGGTCGTTCTGACGTGACCTGTAATGGGATGTCCTCAGATCTTTATTTAGCGACAGCGCGAACTTAGATACGATTTTAATGAGATAGGGCTCAGACGTTTCATCCATGACATCTTTATAAGTGACCCTTCCTCAGCATGCCAAGTGCTTGTAAGTTTTTTCATGACACTCAAGGATTCACAGACATGCCACCAATATTTGAATGTGAAGTCCCCATGATAACTGCCCCTATTCTTTGACAATCTTTACCTTCTATAACCTGTTATGTTTTACTTGAACCTCCCCATCCTATCCTCCAATTTACAATTATTAACTGAGAATTGTATTACTTTGTATCATGGACATTTTCATTAGTTTCAGCAATACCAATCATCATCATAAATGAAAATCTCCTAACAATCAGATGTTTAATAACATTGTTTATTCCAGCATGATACCTCTCTGTGTGAAGATCGGACGACATCTCTACAGGAGGTCGCTTCAGGTGAACTTACAATCAGCAGTTTAACATGAAACCCCCACATGACAAACTATACCATGCATACTGACTCCAAGCCGGTCAACCCTTGTCCTATCCGCTTAATGCCAAGCTCCAGGCAGAATAGTGAGTAAGTGAGGTGGGTTCAACGCCGCTTTTAACAGTATTCCAGTTATATCACAGCGTGTCAGCTTCATGTGGGAGGAAACTCCGAAGTGATGCAGCTCTTAGACGTTAACCACTTCGGTGAAACCCAAGAGCACGGGTATGGTGCTGACAAACCTAGAAACATGATCGGAGAGAACCAGGATTCGAACCCACAATCATAGGTTTCTGGCGTGTCCAAGGAACGCAACTCTGCACAGCGAATTGCGGCGCCCTAGACGACTGAGCCATCCGTGCCCCCTCCAGGCAGAATAACAACTAGTACATGGCCATGGGATTAAACCATAGACTTTCCGCTCTCCACCAAGACAATCTATCCACTAGATCACGGAACCTGTCTGAGATAGTAAAGAAATGAAGCTGAATCTTTTTAGAGAGCCAACACCTGGACTCAAGAACCCATGTATCCTTCTTTTAGATTGGGACAGTCAAAGTTCATTTAGGGTTCACCTGATGTGACCTTCTAAGGAGGGGGGTGAGTGAGCGAATGTGGTAATATGTGGTGAATTTGGCAATATTCCAGCAATATCACGGCAAGGGGACATCAAAAATTGGGTTTTACACATTCTACCCATGTTGGGAATCAAACCCCGGTCTTCGGTGTTACAAGCAAACGCTTTAACCACCTGGCTACCCGACCACCCGTCATCTGATCTTCACGTAGAGATGTGTTGTAAATGACTGAGTCCGAGACATGGTGCAGGTTTTGAAAGGAGGAACAGAACATCAAAACATGGGCTTCACACATTGTATGCATGTGGCCTTTGAATCCTGGCCTTCTGTGTGATGAAACATGTCTATTTTGACCAGTTAACAAGTATTAATTAAATCATAAAAACAAAAAACATTTTTCATGATTTATGGGTGTTACTAACTATGTCATGTATGTTGAGTATTAGAAATCTAATCTGGAAAAAAATACCGGTTCATTCACCATGTTCACCCGAACACTCTCCCATTCAAAACATCCAACTTACCTCTACAGGCATACTACATTCTGAAAGAGAAACATGGAGACAATTACAAACAGCAGGACCACACATACATTGAAAGCAGACACTGCACTAAAATCATCTCAAAATTATTGTGTTATGATGATGTGTTTACACATCTTTATAGTATACACAGGTTATCTGGAGCACTGGATATATGTCATGTATGTTCTGAAAATGGATCTTACATGATCATAATCTCACCTCCACAGTAGAGGACCCTCATTGGGTATTTAACACCTTTCCTAGGGCCATCATATTCCAGAAACTTGTGATCACCACTTCCTGACTCTGCAACATCTGCAGCAGCCATGCTTACTCCAAAACTTTCTGTAAACAGGGGTAAAGTGACCGAATTGACATTAATAACCTGAAAAAATAAATTCATTTGGGAAGCAAATCACACAAGTTTGTCAATTTCGTGAAATCTACGAGCAACAAGTAAGGGTATGGTGCTGAGAGAGCATGGTTTTACGCCACTTTTAGCAATATTCCAGGACATCAGAAATGGGTACATTCGAACCTGGGCCTTTGCCATGACAATTCTGACAAGCGAATGCTTTAACCACCAAGGATCATAACTGAAGCAAATTTTAGATTCAAACCTCTGACAATGAGTGAGTGAGTATGGTTTTACGCCGCTTTTAGCAATATTCCAGCAATATCAGGGCGGGGGAAACCAGAAATGAGGTTCACACATTGAACCTGGGTCTTTGGCGTCACGAAGCGAACGCTTTAACCACTAGGCTACCCGACCGCCCCTCCCTGACAATGATGATCATAGATGATCATAAATAATCAGTGGCTTACTGTGTTTTTTACCAGGTGATTGGCATCCGATTGTTTACCTTATCGTGAAGGGGTGTTTGATCGGAAAGGGTTACCTAACCCTAATAATCGGAAAGATGGTCCAAGGGCTGAGGATAGAATTAGGGGTAGGCTAACTTTACACGAGCTTGACGAGGGACCTTAGGCTTGGATCGGAGAGGCAAGTGAGATCAGTGATGCGAGAGCTTCTGCCAGAGCCAGTTAGCTCCATACGCAGCCCGTTAAAGTTGACAATTCGACAACGGTCACTGCCGCTCGCCCTTGATCATGCTGAGTGCAAACTTACCTTGACAGACTTCCAGTAATAAACTGCTAGCCTCATGCACAGGAAGGAAGTAGATTATGAAATAGCTGTACACGCATGCGCTAGAATATGCTTCTGATAGTGAAAAGTGCAACAGTGAGACGAAATTATCCTATTCCTCTTTGCTTAAAAATATACAATAAAACTTGTTTTAAGCGCAACTAGTTTTTAATGTGTGTTTGGATTATTATCCGAAGTCAAGTATGTTTAATCATACGTGATAAGTCAAATTTGATTTAATACAAAAAGATAAACATTATTATCTTACTTTTATTATAACCCATTCACCGGATGTTTGGGATGGTGGGTAACGAACGTGATTGAACAAGCGGAGTTCTTGCCAACTATGTAAACAATGATGAGTGAAATGCAAGGTATATTTGTTTCACGAGGAAACAGTGATGCACAATGATATATTTTGCTTTTGGCTAGAAAATAGAATGATCAGTTGCTACATTTCCGTAAAAGCAAACTGCTGCCGACAAGTGAAGCTTGTGAACAGGTGATGCTCAGTCAAATATATTACCGTTGGCTGAAAGGTGAAACCAGTATACAGATGTATCATGTGGCCTTGTTGGTTTCCTTGTAGGAGGAAAGCCCGAGGTGATGCAGGTCTCAGACATCTACCACTTCGGTGAAACCCAAGAGCACGAGTATGGTGATGATAAACCTAGAAACATAATCAGGGTGAACCGGGATTCGAACCCACAATCATAGGTTTCTGGCGTGTCCAGGGGACGCAACTCTGCACACCGTGCCCCCTCTGAGGATTGAAAAAAAGTGGCGAAATAAGCGCGAAGCTGTCTATGGCATTAAACAAGTTTCGGGAAACATTTTCTTTTTCTTTTAAAAAGTGCTGTCAGATACTAATGCATTGCTTCAGGTGAACAACATTTAGATAAAACCTTGGTCAATGAAAATGTGAATTTTGCAATATAACATTATTAAACATGATAGGGATAGAAGTATGCACTAGCCCGCTAGAGTGGACCTACTTTGGTAATGTTGAAAGAATCCCAAGGGCAAGTAAAATTTCAAACATTTGGGGTATCCCCTATTTATCATTCGGGCTAGTATATTTTCTTGGTTAATTTCTATCCCTGTTGATCATGATTTATTGCTTCAATGATTGAATATCCAGCGTTAGAAATTGGCACTAGTCCTGTAGTCCTTATCAAACTGCCCAATAGTAAAGGTATTCTAAGGACTAGTAGAAATTGGCCCAGTTTAAGGGTTTTGCTATATGTTATCATTATAAGGACTAGTGGACAAAAACTGTTAGTTTCTAACACTGATATCCCTCCTTTGTTAGGCAGAGATAAAGATTATTGCATGCATTTGTCTTGTAAAATGAAAAACAGACGGCAGTTCCCAGGCTGATGACATGTGCTGCACTTTACTAAATTCCCAGGTTATACGCTGAAGTCATATCATTGCGAGTACCTCTGTCACAAGCCGTCATATAGGTGGAATATTGCTGAGTGCGGCGTTAAACAACAAACCAACCAACATCTGTCACAAAGTCACATCTTTAACAGTCCATTCATGTGTTTTTTACCTGTTTCATTTTGTATGAGTCTACACATTTAGCATGTTTTAATAAACATACGTCATGAAATGTTTGACTTTCATTGAGAAAATATCCTAAAACATGAAATACTATTTCGATTTGCTTATCATCATTGAGAGCCCTTCCGAGAGCTAGAGATATTCAGATATTTGATGTGTAAAGATTTATTGCCATGCACCTCACTGTCGTAGTTGTAGTAGTATGTCTTTATAATTATGCAAACAATATGTAAAACACACTGTAAGGCATGCATTAGGCCGTCTGTTGTTATTACAGAATATGTGCATTTGTTTACGAACGAGAAAAGCCTGGTCACGCGATAAGCCACACCGACAGTTTTGTCACTGAGCAGAAACGGAATATAGGGAGCAGAGCTGAGTGAGGTTGGGGGTCATCGGCTATTGTTTAGAAAAGCTTCAGAACGTTTGACGTCCAATCCCTTTAAGATAGTCATAGTGCTAAGATCGCTTTGTGCATGTGGGCCCAGGAATGAATGTCAGTTATCTGTAACATGCAATCTATGTTATTGATATATTTAATGATTCCAGCTGCCATTCTCTTTTTAATTTGTGGGGGCATGGGTGGCGCAGTCGTTAAAGGCACCGCAATTCGCTGTGCAGAGTTGCGTCCCTTGGGCACGCCAGAAACCTATGATTGTGGGTTCAAATCCTGGTTCGCCCAGATTATGTTTCTAGGTTTGTCAGCACCATGCCCGTGCTCGTGGGTTTCACAGAAGTGGTACACGTCTGAGACCTGCATCACTTGGGGCATTCCTCCTACATTAAGCTGACATGCCGTGATATGACCGGAATACTGTTAAAAGCGGCGTTAAACCCAACCCACTCACTCACTTTTTAACTTGTTCATGTTAGGCCCCCCAAAAGTACCCTATTCTCTGTTTGTCTGCATAATGTTTAGCCCCCCTTGTCAGGCATTGTTATGTTCATGACGTTTAAACAAGGGCAGATAACTCTAACCTGCACGTCACAACACCTCTTGTGTTGTCCTCACTCTACTGAACTTTTATTAATTGCTGCAAAAACGTATTATAACCAGAAACAACTAGGTTTTTCCTCCAGCATATGATGAATGTACTGTTTTGGGCCAATGTTAGTGAATCATGCAAATGAGCTTATAAAAAAAGGACTACTGTCAGCCATTGTATTCCGAAGTTTTGCAATTGATGGCTAGCTCATACTTTCTTGATATTTGCTTCAACAGATTGATATCTGTCTGTGATTCGAACGAGGGGTCAACTTCAGAAATACTGCGATAATGTTTGGAGATGATTCTGGTAAGTATTTCTACAAATTCTAGCTTTCAAACAGAGACCATATGCCATATATATCGGTATATGGTCTCTGTTTGAAATGAAGATGTGTTTTTGCATCATATTTTTGTTCACTGCAAAAATATCACAACGTAAACAAATATAGCAACATCTAAACATGTTTAATATTGACTATATGCCACTACATTTCATGTTTTTGAAGGAAAACTGATATATTTTCTCTCATATTAAGCACCAGTGGGTTCTGGGTTAGAACTGTCTTTAGCAACCCATGCTTGACGTAAGAGGCGACTATGCTTGTCGTAAAAGGCGACTACACTTGTCGTAAGAGGCGACTAATGGAATCGAGAGGCCAGGCTTGCTGACTTGGTTGATGCATGTCAATGTATCCTTATTGCCTAGATCGATGCTAATGATGTCAATCACTGGATTGTCTGGTCGAGACTCGATTATTTACAGACCTACACCATATAGCTTGGATATTGAGAGCAGCGCTAACAACCAACAAACAAACAATTGCGGATCCAGAGGAGGGGTGCAAGGTGCACATCCCTCCTTTTTTTCAGATACCTACACATTAACCCCACACTCAGCCAAGTATTCTGAACAAAAACAGTTAGGGATCATGAATATTTTTTGGGGAAATTTTTATGAAATTGTAAGCACTGCAAAATATATCCCCCCAAATATTTGTGATCCCTTACTTTTATTTGTTCAGTATATTATATGCACCCCCTTTTCAGAATCCTGGTTCTGCCTCTGATGAAGACCCCTTGACTTTCATACTAATTTCTTTCAATCATTAAGGGTTTATCATCAGTAATTAAGGTTTTATTTCTTGAAGATGTTTTCTCAGAGAGCATAGTGGAAAGAGAAGGCCCTCACCACAGCACGCCCATTAAGGTAATTTATGTCACTGATTTTGCAAATATATATCGTAGTAAGTAAAACTCAGTAATATCTGAAATGTGAACCAGACAGTCAACAGTATGTTTGCAGAGTGAGTGAGTTGAGTTTAACACCACTTTGAACAGTATGTCAGTGTATCCTGAATAGTCAGTTTCCTTGATGGGGAGGGACCGCCTCCGTGGTCTAGTAGTAGAGCGTCCGCCCGGAGAGCGGAAGGTCCGGGGTTCGATCCCCGACCTCGTCGTACCAAAAGGCGTTTAAAGATGGTACTTGTTGTTACCCTGTCTGGCGCTCGGCATTAAGGGGCTAAAACAAGGACTTGTCAGCTCGGAGTCAGTATACTGTGTCTGAGTGGGGTATTCATGTTAAACTGCGGCATCGTATCAGTGAGCTAGCACTATAAATCGGCATCAGTCCGGACTAGTACAAGCAGCCACACAAACACACACATGTACATGCACGTCGCTATATAAGTGCAATAATCTTGGACGCGACGTTAAACCCCATTTCACCTCACCTCACCTTGATGGGGAGAAAGGTCTGTAGTGATACATATGGAGATGTTTTTCCATTTTTGTATGACTCACAATGGAATGGTGCTGAAAGACGAGGGGTCATAATCTGGAATTTGAAGGGACATCACCTAAGACCTTCCTGGGCGGTGGGATAGTCTCGTGGTTAAAATGTCTGCTTCCCGCCCTGAAGGTCAGAAGGCTTTGATTCCGCACATGGGTTCGATGTTAGGAGACCATTTCTGGTATCCCCCGTTACAGTATTGCTAAAAGACGTGTAAACCACGCTCACATAATTATTTGATTTCTGTATATTGAAAAGGAAGTCAATCAGCTTGTTCCGAATGCACAGGATCAATGCAGAGCTCTGATGTTGTTGATGATATTTTATTTCCTCTTTTTGATCTGAACACCATGGCATCTATATCTAAAAGGGAGTACGGTACCATCGAATGATTATTTGTTGTCTGTGGGTTTTCTTATGCTAATATTAAAATATCGAGGCGGTAAACTCACTCACTTTTTGCTGGTACATTATTCATGCAGAAATGTCTGCATAAACACAAATATTGATGTCATTGTTTGTTCTGACAAGGATGGTCCCTTTAAACGCCCACTTCGTCCAGTCCGTATAACCGCTAGAGTGGAGCCCTCTTCCCCAGTACGTCATGTGGTCAGTGATGGTCAACATTCTGAGAGGCCAGGGGATCCTGATCGATCCCAACACCAACACTACCTGGACTCGGGAAAGCAGCGGTCACCGGTCAGCCTACATTCTCCGCGACAAGTATGTCTGAACTTTGTTTGGCTATGGCTCTGACTGTGCATGAAATAGGACTAGGGCGACCTAGTTACCCGTCCCAGCCCAAATAGGGCTAGGGCGACCTGAGTTACCCGTCCCAGCCCAGATAGGGCTAGGGCGACCTGAGTTACCCGTCCAAGCCCATATAGGGCTAGGGTGACCTGAGTTACCCGTCCAAGCCCAGATAGGGCTAGGGCGACCTGAGTTACCCGTCCCAGCCCAGATAGGGCTAGGGCGACCTGAGTTACCCGTCCCAGCCCAAATAGGGCTAGGACGACCTGAGTTACCCGTCCAAGCCCAAATAGGGCTAGGGCGACCTGAGTTACCCATCCCAGCCCAAATAGGGCTAGGACGACCTGAGTTACCCATCCCAGCCCAAATAGGGCTAGGGCGACCTGAGTTACCCATCCCAGCCCAAATAGGGCTAGGGCGACCTGAGTTACCCGTCCCAGCCCAAATAGGGCTAGGAAGACCTGAGTTACCCATCCCAGCCCAAATAGGGCTAGGACGACCTGAGTTACCCATCCCAGCCCAAATAGGGCTAGGGCGACCTGAGTTACCCGTCCCAGCCCAAATAGGGCTAGGACGACCTGAGTTACCCGTCCAAGCCCAAATAGGGCTAGGACGACCTGAGTTACCCGTCCCAGCCCAAATAGGGCTAGGGCGACCTGAGTTACCCGTCCCAGCCCTTGACTGAACACTTACATGTCATTGAGTATGTTAAGCATGTATCGATTGTCAAGGTCAGAAAGGGAGACAATTTATGATTTATATTTTTAAATGTAATGTTCAGCCTAGGCGATACTTTAAATGCTTTAAACAGGAATTTATGTTGTTTTTTCACATTCCTGAATTTTAGGGTCGGTGAATACATAGAAACGTTCTTGTGATAAAAAATATTATGCCCAAACATGTTCCCTTCGTGTTGTAACATTTTGGTATGCCTGCTTCAGAATCCCATGTCCTCCTCAGACAGCACAACGCAACAGAAACAGCGACGAGAGATTCAGCTGTTGATTCAGGAGCTGAGGGAGCGAGACAATGAGCTGAATGAGACAGTGACAGCTCACAGCAATCAGCTCCTGGCCTGGGAGCGGGACAGACAGAGGCTGCTGACACTGGAACAGAAGTGTTCTCGATATGAAGGTCAGCTTGATCAACTCGCATCAGCTTCACATCAATATACTACTTAACTTTTGACAGGGATATACTGAGTGTGACTGATTGCTGGGAGAAGTTGTCACCCAAGTAGCTTTCAATATTGCCTTGGACTCATATTCAGCATCATTACAAAAATAAGTAATTTATATAACATTCCCTTAAGCTGCTTTCTAGTTGGTTTGTTATTTAACGCCGCACTCAGCAATATTCCAGCTATATGATTGGGGTCTGTAAATAATCGAGTCTGGACTAGACAATCCAGTGATTAATATCATGAGCAGTGATCCATGCAATTGGGATCTATGACATGCATCAACGATGTCCGCGAGCTTGACCATCCGATCCCGTTAGTCGCCTCTTACGACAAGCATAGTCGCCGTTTATGGCAAGTATGGGTTGTTGAAGACCTATTCTACCCCGGATCTTCACGGGTCAGCTGCTTTTGTAACCATTTAGTAACAGTATGAAATATCTCAGTGTCTGTATCAAAACTTGAGAAGTATATTTTGTGAACTAGGCTTGTAAAATAATTTTAAAAAGCTTACTTAGTGACAAAAACCAGTATGCGTTGTTGTCTCCTGGCTTTCGTGAGAGTGTGAGCCAGCACAGAATGCTTGCCAGGAGTTCAGTGGTATTATCCAGACTCACGCATTTTAGTGAAGGTAGGTGTCAGTCTAATACATCTCTCACTTTGTGTCCAGGTGAGCTGCAACACAAGAAGAAGCAGGTTGACATGATGAAATCGAAGCTGAAGGCAGCTCGAAGTTACCAGGAGACCCACAATGCCAGTCTCAGCACCACTCAGGAACAGCTAGAGCAGCTGAGTCGCCAGAAACAACACAGTGTTGTTCACATGGATACACTGGAGGTGAGAAGAGAAGAAATCCTGTAAGGAGTGGGGGGTCCAACAATAGGGTCAGGTCTTTATAGTTAACAGACCCGTGAATATTCCGGGGTAGAATAGGTCTTCAGCAACCCATACTTGCCATAAAAGGCTACTATGCTTGTCGCAAAAGGTGACTAACGGTATTGGGTGGTCAGGCTCGCTGACTTGGTTGATCCATGTCATTGATCCCAATTGCGTGGATCGATGCTCATGATGTCAATCACTGGATTGTCTGGTCCAGACTCGGATTATTTTACAGACCGGCGTCATATAGCTGGAATACTGCTGAGTGCGGCGTTAAACAACAAACCAACCCAACAATCATATTTTTATTCTGAAGATGAGCAACATCACTCAGGGCTGAATATAACTATAAAACATGCACTAGTGCAACCTATTTTTGAAAAATGCAACCTAATATTTATATCTTCATGCACCAAGTGCATGTCAAACATTTTCAAATTTGTGCCTTACTTACCCTTACAAAAGTTCTGTTGAGCAATGTCTAAACAAGCCTGAAGGGCTTTATGGTCAATAACAAAATTCCAAATTGGAATTACAGATTACCAAAGTCATGCTATTATTGTTCTAACTGTTGTTGTGGCTTTGTGGAGTTGATATGCATCTTTCACTGAAAACAGGAGAGAGTGAGAATGATTTTTCACCGCTTTTAGCAATATTCTATCAATATCATGGCGGGGGCCACTTGCACAAAGCGATCTTAGTGCTAAGATGATCATAACTCCCATACTTTAACATGGGCTTATAATAGTCTTAGCGCTAAGATCGCTTTGTGCAAGTGGGCCCAGATATTGGCTTCACACATTGTGCCCATGTGGGGAATCGAACCAGGCCTTCGGTGTGACGAGCAAACACTTTAACCCCTCAGCTACCCCACAGCTCCTGAAAACAGGGCCAATAGAGAGGAAGAGGCTATAATGCATAGTTATACATTATTGAAAGGATACAATGTTATAATACATCAGAATTTTTGAAATTAAGATTTAACTCTCTTTTTTTCAGATGCACAGTTGTACATTTTAAGTTACCTCAGAATTAGTGTAATAACTAAAAAAACAAAATCCCGCTTTTGAACAATATAATTATTTTCGCCAAATTTGCCTGCCAAAGGCTCTTTGTTTGGAATCCTAGATAAATTTGCGTTTTTCTTTAAGAAACAGAATGAGAGTCTTGGCAACTCTGTGAAGGCGATGTCAGGGACCATTGGGCAGTTGGAGGCTCGGGAACAGGAGTTGATGACTCTGCTCCATCTTAAGGTATGCCCCACACTGCAGGAATAAAAAAAAAGTAAAAAAACAAACAGGCAAGCCCACAGGGCTAGAAGGATTTTTGTTCTGCTAGTCCTGCAAAAGGTTACTAGTCCTTACAAAATAAGAAGGCTTTCAAGGCGGAAATGAGAGGACAATAGATAATTTACAGCATGTGTCAAAAAGTGGCGGAGCTTAAACTTGTGCTGTAAAGTTTGAGAAAGCTGCTTTCTTATTGGCTAATGTCAACTTCTTGTTCGGTCAAAGTTTGCGAAAGGTCATTCTGACGGAACCCATGATGGGATGTTCTCAGACTTTTGATTAGCGATAGGGAAAACTGAGATCTGATTTTAAATGAAATCAACAGGTTATGATGAGTGTTTTCCCTACTGTCAGAGACGTTTTTGTTTTTTTATTGAAGTGTTTGTAGCTGCCATAGACTGTAGAGAGTGCATTTGATCACAGATCATTGTGTTTTTCAGGAGAAGGACGTTAGCCAGGCCACCAACAGTGTGGCGGAGCTGAACTCACGTATTCAGCTTCTGGACATGCGATGTAAGGAGTGCCAGACTCGGGAAGCCGACGCCCTGCACCGTGCCACACAGTGGAAGCAGAAATACACTCAGGCCAGGGAGGAGATGGAGGCACTCGCAAGTAGGGACGCCTTCAGCTTCTTGCTCTTGATTATTCACAGGCTGTCTTATAGTTGGCTTATTGCTGAGTTCAGCGTTAAGCAGCAAACATACATATGTATGTCCTGTGGAATGATGTTGATTTGAATGGTTGCAGGTAGTGCACAAAGCAAGGACAATGAGCTGAGTCTGGTCAGGAGTGAGATGCAGCAGCTGCAGCAGAGATTGGTGGCAGCGGGGGAGGAGCTGCTGATGACAGGTTAGTAAGGGAAGTGCGGAGGGAGGAGTCAGTAAGTGAAGTGTGTAGGGGGAGTGACAGAAGTTGAGAGGAGTCAGCGAAATGTGGAGGAGGAGTTAGTAAGTGAAATTTGGAGGAGTGACTAAAGTGTGGAGGGAGGAGTCAGTGAAGTGTAGAGGGAGGAGTCAGTGAAGTGTGGAGGAGGAGTCAGTGACAGAGTGGAGGAGGAGTCAGTGAAGTGTGGAGGAGGAGTTAGTAAGTGTGCAGGAGGAGTTAGTAAGTGTGCAGGAGGAGTCAGTGACAGAGTGGAGGCAGGAATCAGAGACAGTGTGGAGGCAGGAGGCAGTGACAGTGTGGAGACAGGAGTCAGTGACATTGTGGAGGGAGGAGTCCGTGACAGTGTGGAGGCAGGAGTCCGTGACAGTGTGGAGGCAGGAGTCAGTGACAGTGTGGAGGGAGGAGTCAGTGACATTGTGGAGGCAGGAGTCAGTGACAGTGTGGAGGCAGGAGTCAGTGACAGTGTGGAGGCAGGAGTCAGTGACAGTGTGGAGGCAGGAGTCAGTGACAGAGTAGAGGGAGGAGTCCGTGACAGTGTGGAGGCAGGAGTCAGTGGCAGTATGGAGGCAGGAGTCAGTGACAGAGTAGAGGGAGGAGTTAGTGACAGTGTGGAGGCAGGAGTCAGTGACAGTGTGGAGGGAGGGAGGAGTCAGTGACTTTGTGGAGGCAGGAGTCAGTGACATTGTGGAGGCAGGAGTCAGTGACAGTGTGGAGGCAGGAGTCAGTGACATTGTGGAGGCAGGAGTCAGTGACAGTGTGGAGGCAGGAGTCCGTGACAGTGTGGAGGCAGGAGTCAGTGACAGTGTGGAGGCAGGAGTCAGTGACAGTGGGGAGGCAGGAGTCAGTGACAGAGTAGAGGGAGGAGTCCGTGACAGTGTGGAGGCAGGAGTCAGTGACAGTGTGGAGGCAGGAGTCAGTGACAGAGTAGAGGGAGGAGTCCGTGACAGTGTGGAGGCAGGAGTCAGTGACATTGTGGAGGCAGGAGTCAGTGAAGTGTAGAGGGAGGAGTCAGTGAAGGTTGGAGAGAGGAGTCAATGAAGTGTGGAGGAGGAGTTAGTAAGTGTGCAGGATTCCTCCCTCAACACTGTTACTGACTCCTCCCTCAACACTGTTACTGTGTGGAGACAGGAGTGAGTGACAGTGTGGAGGCAAGAGTCAGTGACAGTGTGGAGGGAGGAGTCAGTAAGTAAAGTGTGTAGGGGGAGTGACAGAAGTTGAGAGGAGTCAGCGAAGTGTGGAGGAGGAGTAAGTAAGTGAAATTTGGAGGAGTGACTAAAGTGTGGAGGGAGGAGTCAGTGAAGGTTGGATAGAGGAGTCAATGAAGTGTGGAGGAGGAGTAAGTAAGTGTGCAGGAGGAGTGACTGAAGTGTGGAGGGGGAAGTCAGTGAAGTGTTAAGGGAGGAGAGATTTAAGTGTGTAGTAAGAGTCAGTGACAGTGTGGAGTAAGAGTCAGTGACAGTGTGGAGGGAGGAGTCAGTGACAGTGTGGAGGGAGGAGTCAGTGACATTGTGGAGGGAGGAGTGAGTGACAGTGTGGAGGGAGGAGTCAGTGACAGTGTGGAGGGAGGAGTGAGTGACAGTGTGGAGGGAGGAGTCAGTGACAGAATGGAGGGAGGAGTCAGTGATATTGTTTGCAATGTTCCTAGTTGACATCAATGTTCCTTCTGTATAAAGGTGAGCGTGAGAAGAGCAAGGATGACCTGATTGAGTCCCTGAGGTCAAAGCAGGAGCGTACTCTGGCCGAACTCAGGAGTGTTCGTGAGGTAGGACAGACATTCTTTGAAAGATACTCTTACAGTGTTAACAAGGCCAAGATTTCCACAGGCATCAAAGGGCCTTACAAATGACAGTGTGGCCTTGAAAGGGCCTTAAATTTGAAAAATTTAAATTAGATGAAATGCCTTGATTTTAGTAAGCATTATTCATTTGCTCTTGTAATGTACGACCAACAGACGCTCATGATAAGTACATAACTCACTTGATAAATAATATTTTAATAGTAAATCATTTAAAGGAATAATGTCATAAAAAATCTGTTTGACAGCATGATTGGTATTACTTTGGGCCCTGAAAAGTGCAATCATAGCCCTGGAAAGACTAATGTCTTGGCATACTATTATACTTTTTCCGTCTTTGACTGTGGCCTAGTGAATAGTGCGAAACCCTTTTCTGGTGTTCCCCACAGTGATATTGCTGGAATATTGCTTAAAGCAGAGTGAAACCATGCTAACTCACTTGTTGGTAGAATGTCTGCCCTGAAAGCGGAAGGTCGATGGTTCGATCCTTGGGCATGTCATACCCAATATTGTTAAGAGACAGTACTTGTTGTTACCCTGCCTGGCGCTTGGCATTTAAGTGTTAAAACGTTGCCTCAGAATCAGTATAGTGTGTCTGAGTGAGGTGTCCATGTTAAGCCTACATTAGTCCAAACTAATACCACTAGCCACATACACACATAGACATCGCTATATAACTTTGATTATCTTGAATGCAAAGTAAAACCCCATTTCAACTCACCTCACCTTTGTTGTCTTTGAGGGACTGCCTCCGTGGTCTAGTGGTACAGTGGAAGGTCGGGGTTCGAACCCCAGCCACTTCATACCAAAAGATGGTTCTTGTTGTTACCCTGCCTTGCATTTCACCTCACCTCACCTCACCTTTGTTGTCTTTGAGGGACCGCCTCCGTGGTCTAGTGGTACAGTGGAAGGTCTGGGTTCGATCCCCAGCCACGTCATACCAAAACATGGTATTTGTTGTTACCCTGCCTTGCATTTCACCTCACCTTTGTTGTCTTTGAGGGACCGCCTCCGTGGTCTAGTGGTACAGTGGAAGGTCGGGGTTCGATCCCCAGCCAGGTCATACCAAAAGATGGTACTTGTTGTTACCCTGCCTTGCATTTCACCTCACCTCACCTTTGTTGTCTTTGAGGAACCGCCTCCGTGGTCTAGTGGTACAGTGGAAGGTCGGGTTCGATCCCTGGCCACGTCATACCAAAAGATGGTACTTGTTGTAACTCTGCCTTGCATTTCACCTCACCTTACCTCACCTTGTGGTATTTGAGAGATGCGCAAGGCAAAAATTCACTGAAGTCACTGATAAGTATCACAGCAACTGTGTTGTGTCAATAATGACGATGATGAAACAATTATTGTTGCTAGTTGTTTCAGTGTATCAAATATTGTATCTAAGAACACAGATTGTTCTCCCATCCCTTTGTAATCTCCTGGCATATCATCTGGTCTGTCACTAGTCGTCCGTATTTTGTTTCCGGAGCATAACTTGTAAACCGTGAAAGAGATTTCATCCCTACTTGCTAGATGTATTAAGCAGGGCTTGAAGTTGTGCCTTTTTATATTTACTAATTCTTTTATAATTCCTTTTTCCATGGAAACAAGTTAGATTTAGCTGAAACCGAGGTAGGTTTCGTTGCCGGAGCAGAACTAAAAAATTTTCAACATTTTTCACTCAAATTTGGTACATGTATTAATCAGGGGCTGAAGTGGTGCCCTTTGCTATTTAGGCATTTTATATTTTATACTTTTTTCCAGTTTCCATGGTAACAAGTTTGCCTTTGTCTCTGTTCATAGTGGTGTACTGAAAACTGTACACACACAAAGACCAGGTTGTCAACTGGTGCTTTTTGCTATTTAGGGATTTTTGTAATTTATAGTTTTTCCGTTTTCATGGCAACAAGATTGACTTTGCCTCTGTTCATAGTGGTGTGTACCTGACATACAACTACAAAGTTCAAAATCCTAATTCCATGGTATTGTTTTGATAGCACAATAACTACTCTTGTATAGGGACAGACAGATTGGGAGAAATTCTCATCAAGTTGGCCATAAAGTAACAGTCAGATGATTTGTCCTTTCGAATTCATGGGGGCGGGGGGATTTGTCGTCTTCTCATGACTCTTGTATATTCCAGCTGTATGAGCGTCAGCAAAGGGAGATGACTCTGATGCAGCTCAATTTGGACAGCTCCCGGGAGAACAGCAACCAGAACAGCAACATGGAACAAAGGTTTGCTGTTGATGTGCTGATTGTAACATGTTCCTTGGCGGTTTTACTGCTTTCCTAGGGCCGTTGTTAGGATGCAAGAGAAACATGGCTGGATTCTGTGCCCTGTGCATCCTCGTGTATCCCATCTGCATCTCATCCATCTGCATTAAATTCAGATCTTAGTTCTTGCTACAGCTAAATAAATATATGAGGACATCCCATTATGGGTCATCAGAACATCCTTTTGTGAACTTTGACCGACCAATGAAATTACTTACCTAAAGTCGACATTAGCTAATCAGAAAGCAGCTTTCTTGATCTTCACGGCTCTATTTTGAAACTGGCGATTTCCATTCCAGACTACACTTTAAAAATATTTTGACAAAGATATCTATGCAAAATTTGAAAACTGAACAAAATAAAATTCTGTAATGTGTCATAGATGGCTGAGATTGTATGGCAGTTCCTCCCGTGGGCTATGCAAAGTCATTTCTGTTTTAAATGTTTATCCAACTGAAGCGAGAGATAGACGATGAGTTTGACGGAATCATTCATACTGCCTATAACTGTCATTTGGAATACCCTGTGTTAACCTTTTCAAGGTTGCATGATTAGAAGACACATTCCGAATGTCAATTTATCAATCTGGTAAGCCATGCTCTGATATGGTGGGATGAAATGTCGTTCTGACGAGACCCGTAATGGTATGTCAGATCTTTGTTTCGTTGCAGCGTTATGATCCAGTGTGAGTGACATACACTCAACATAGCCATCCAATCCAGTTACAGGATAATGGCTACAAGGGAAGTAATGGTATCAAAGTACTTGACTTGTGTTTGAAACCATCTCAAATACAACTGGGAACACTTGGTGCCATATGGACTTCCATCCGCTTGTCCCAAATCTAAAGAAAAAATCTTTACCAGCTCGATGTTCATTCCAATTCGCAGCAAATCCCATTATTTGAAATTTATCAATGGCTCGCTTGAGTAAGGCTGGTGTTTTGATTGTAGTTCTAAATCGGACTCCTTAAAATGTATTGCAATTAACTGGAGCATGGATATATATTTTGCACCCCTAGATTCACATGGTGGCACATGGTCCTGTGCACAGTGCACAGGTCACAAATAAGGTGAAGTTATGCAACGTTGGTTGCGGAGAATAGTTGGATGGATGACCACGTTTCTTGAGAGTTTCTAGGGATTCGGTCCTGCCCGACACTGAAGCACATATAGGACATGTTGCGTCTCCTTGGGCAAATGACTTTGTTCAAAATGTGCCTCTGTTCATCCAGCAGTGACTGGGTACCCGGTAGGATGAGATGGTAATGTGGCTGTTAACCTTCCAGCGCATCACAGGCAGCTTGGGTTGTATACTCCCCAGGGAGCTGAGAATAAAAGAATCAAGTGCACACCGATCTATTGACCAGGGTCATAGTGTTAGGGCTTTGAGCATTCACCTTGTGTAAGGAGTTTAGCGCAATAGAAGTACAGACATTATTATAGACAGACAGACAGACAGACAGACAGACAGACAGTGTTATTTCAGTATAAAGACCACTGGCCCAACATGTTACATTACAAGAACAGATTGAAGCGCACATAAAATGTTTACAATTTACAATACAGGGTTTCTGTGTTAATTTATATATTTTAGAAAATAGCATAGATTTGTTTGGACATTTTCATTTTTGTTACAAATTTTGTGTATTAGATTGTGCGTTTTTAAAAAATTTACGAACATAAGGAGTGTTAAGAGTATTTAAATAATTATTTTTAATGTGACATGATATATGCGGCTTTTCTATTGGACAAGAGGATTACATGACCACGAAATTGATGTTCATAAGTATATGAACCACACACTTTGACAGTCATACATTTTTGAGAGATTGTATTCTAGAAATAACGTGAACACTGACAGATACCTCCACATTCCTGAGGAAACCCCTGGGGATTGCCTAGCCTAAATAAATACAGAATCCTTGTTTCTGATCATTTAGACACTTTGATCTTGAACTCAACATTTCAGCATTCATTGAGAAACGTCACAGAGTTTGACTGCATGATTGTTCACGAATATTCACACTATGACTCATCCTAGTGAACTAAACAAAGAAATGCACATCCTATCTATCGTAGTATCGACTTGATCCGTGTCAAGATTGACAGTGACAGTCTACAGCAATCTATGAATTTGTTTTAGTATCTATTTGACACATCTTTATAATCACCTATCAATGATTGGACAGTTGATCAATGATGACCATCACATGCAACCACCAAAGCTTCATTAACAACTTCAGAAATCTCTCCCGTTACGTTTATCGTGTTGCCATTTTGACATCTTGTACTTGATGTAAATGTATTACGACGTGCTGTCATTGTGACTGACTTACTGAGGTAGTTCTTAACACACCTTTCTCATCCAATGATGATAGAATTTGAATACATTTGTTGTAAACAAACTGCACCAGACGTTCCTGAAGAGCAAGTTTAGCAAACATATGGTCATGTCACCTCTTTTGAGGAACTATTTTATTCCGCTATACAGCTGGATGTTGTATGGCTGTCAGTGTAAACATAGAAGTTGCACTCGAAACTAAATGTGCATAGATCTAGACTTACTATGAATGATATGAAACATGAAAATTGACTTTCAATTTGCATGAGTTCATTGGAGTATGAACCTTCATAGAGTGAGGGCCAAACATTGTATGAACGTTGCAACAAGCTCCGACGTTCATACAGTTTGGCCCTCACTCTATGAAGGTTCAAGCTGCAATGAACTCACACAAAGTGTAAGTCAATTTCGTCTTCAACAAGAAATTCTCCATTTGCTTGGCAAAAAGTACATAACCTTTGCTCGAGAGGGGTATTTGAATATTTTTTGGAACATTATTATAAATAGCTACATATGCGCTTGTATACAGTCGAAGTATTGCTTCATGTATTCAAACGTTCTAGGTGACTGTAAGTGTGTCCACTTATAGGATTGTGTTGTTACTTTGGGGTCCATTTATATAATTTTCTCTGCTGTTTTGCCTTTTACGCCCATTGGAATATGTTTCGGCAGATAATCAAGACTGGTAATTCCCTGGTTTTGACGTTATGTATTACATTGATGATTTTCAAATGGATTTGTATTTGATTTGAAATTCAACAAAAGTTTCATGAAGGTAGTCTTACACTTTCCCTTGTTAGACCATTCAAATTTCTTTCTTTTCCTTGCTTTTGCTTCCTGTTTTGGGGCATATTGTAAAAGAAAAATCATTTGAACAAGAAAATACATCGGTCTTGTCTCATTATTGAATGGAATTTTTTCTCACACGTTTCTAGCATTGGTCTGGATGATTCCATCAGTTGCCATGGTAATGAACCTGTTCAATGTGTGTCTCCACGGCAACAAGAAATTGACAATGACCACCGCCGTGTTTCATTTGAAGACCGCCTGTCCTCATTCCTGGATCAAGACACAGACAGTGAGGTGAGCTGGTTAGGGAACTGACGAGCTTCCATTGTCAATGATCTCTTCTGAGTAAAACACAAGGGATTGGAGAGGGATTCACAACATTACTTCATCAAATACATAGTCCTGAATAGTTTATTTTGTATATTACCTATAGTCTCTTTTGCAAGAAAACCTTTTTCTGGGAAGGTCACATCCCCATAGGGATTCCAGTTTGAATAGATAGTGAGTGAGTGAGTTAGTATGGTATGTCATCGTATCCCAATGGTGTGGATTGATGCTCGCGATGTCAATCACTGGATTGTCCGGTCCCGACTCGATTATGCACAGACAGCCATCATAAAGCTGGAATATTGCTGAGTGCAGCGTTAAACAACAAACCAACCAACCAACCAACTCAAAACCCTCAGTGTATATTTTTCAACCAGTGCGTGTCAATCTAGACTGGAAGCGTGTACTGTGGAACCCAGTTGCATATTGACATTTGTGTCTGCATCTGGATTTGTGTTAGAAAACCTTAAGTATAGATTTGACTCACAAGAGCTTTGGATTCCACTCCATCCACGTTGAATTGGAAAGACTCTATTGACTTATCTGATGTCATGATAGTGGAAGTGGAATGAGTTTTGTAGCAGATACATTTGTTTCCAGGCTGTGTCCCATCTTGATGCTGCCTCCCCTGCAAGTAAACTCCAGCGCCTGTTGACAGAGTCTAGGATGATGATAGAGAGCCTGGAGAAGACCACTCTACCAGCCTCAAGTAACACAGCCACCCAGGTGAGTCAGTAGAGGTCCTCTCTACCAGCCTCAAGTAACACAGCCAACCAGGTGAGTCAGTAGAGGTCCTCTCTACCAGCCTCAAGTAACACAGCCAACCAGGTGAGTCAGTAGAGGTCCTCTCTACCAGCCTCAAGTAACACAGCCACCCAGGTGAGTCAGTAGAGGTCCTCTCTACCAGCCTCCAGTAACACAGCCACCCAGGTGAGTCAGTAGAAGTCCACTCTACCAGCCTCAAGTAACACAGCCACCCAGGTGAGGTCCTCTCTACCAGCCTCCACTAACACAGCCAACCAGGTGAGTCAGTAGAGGTCGACTCTATCAGCCTCAAGTAACACAGCCACCAGGTGAGTCAGTAGAGGTCGACTCTATCAGCCTCAAGTAACACAGCCACCCAGGTGAGTCAGTAGAAGTCCACTCTACCAGCCTCCAGTAACACAGCCACCCAGGTGAGGTCCTCTCTACCAGCCTCAAGTAACACAGCCAACCAGGTGAGTCAGTAGAAGTCCACTCTACCAGCCTCAAGTAACACAGCCACCCAGGTGAGGTCCTCTCTACCAGCCTCAAGTAACACAGCCAACCAGGTGAGTCAGTAGAAGTCCACTCTACCAGCCTCCAGTAACACAGCCACCCAGGTGAGGTCCTCTCTACCAGCCTCAAGTAACACAGCCACCCAGGTGAGTCAGTAGAAGTCCACTCTACCAGCCTCCAGTAACACAGCCACCCAGGTGAGGTCCTCTCTACCAGCCTCAAGTAACACAGCCAACCAGGTGAGTCAGTAGAAGTCCACTCTACCAGCCTCAAGTAACACAGCCACCCAGGTGAGGTCCTCTCTACCAGCCTCCACTAACACAGCCAACCAGGTGAGTCAGTAGAGGTCGACTCTATCAGCCTCAAGTAACACAGCCACCAGGTGAGTCAGTAGAGGTCGACTCTACCAGCCTCCACTAACACAGCCACCCATGAGAGTCAGTAGAGGTTGACTCTACCAGCCCCCAGTAACAGAGCCACCAGGTGAGTCAGTTGAGGTCGACTCTACCAGCCTCCAGTGACACAACTACTCAGGTGAGTCAGTAGAGGTTGACTCTACCAGCCTCCACTAACACAGCCACCCATGAGAGTCAGTAGCGGTCGACTCTACCAGCCTCCAGTAACACAGCCACCCAGGTGAGTCAATAGAGGTCAACTCTACCAGCCTGCAGTAACACAATCACCAAGGTGAGGTCCACGCTACCAGCCTCCAGTAACACAGCCACAATGACTGTGCTGAGTGTCATTTTCTGCCTTTTGTCACAGGTATCTCTGGTCCATTCTGCAATATTTAGAGGCAGGCATAATATTGCTGAGGCTTTAAACAATATTCACTCAATCACGATGTTCAAGTGAAATTGGAACAAAAAGTTTAATGAGAGCATGGTATATATTTTCAGGGCAACTCTGTGTCCAACCATTCCTCACCAATATGCTCCCAGAATTCTTCAGTGCAGGAAAGAGAAGCAAGTGAGCCGACACACGAGGGGACCATGCTTCCACAGACCAAGGAAGTCCGAGAGATCCTCAAGCTGCATCCTGTGTCACAAGAGCATCCTAACTTTGGGCTCAAGTCTCCAGCCTCACAGTTCAGGTCAAATCCAGATGCATCAGCATCACACTTCCATGACTCATGTGATACCCAAACAGCTCAGCAAGATGTACCCCAGAGTTCCATCTCACCGGAACCTCATACACAGGGGTCAAGGTCACTTGATTTTTCAAGACCTTATCAGTATAATGAAGATCAGTCAAGGTCACAAGTTGTCCAATCTCTTAGGTCAAGGTCACATGACCCTTATTTTCAGGTGTCAAGGTCGCAGGATTTCCAATCCCAGGAATTAGAGGCACATGACCCTTATCCACTGATGTCAAGGTCACATGATTTCCAATCCCAGGAATTAAGGTCACGTGACCCTTATTCACATATGTTGCGTGAACCTCATTCAGAAGTGACAAGGTCACATGACTTCCAATCACAAGGTGAAGCTTCACAAGATGTTGAAGGTCAGGATGCAAGGTCACAGTACTTTCAATCCCAGCGTTCCCTGTTTGTGTCAGAGTTACCATCCATGGCTCAGGTTGAGTTCAGTGACACAGAATCATCCGACATTCTCAGAAGACAGGTTGACAGCTGATGACAGATTCCACCAAATATTTTGGGTCATTATTCGACCTGTATGGGACCATGTATATGAAGGTGCTATTACATACATCGTATACAATATTGTACTCAATATTTGCAAGGTTTATCAGTCAGCTATATATACCACTCAAAGAAGTTAAGGAACACCAGATTCTTTCATTAATATAGTTGCTTGCTGTAAGAGGCGACTATGCTTGTCGTAAGAGGTCTTGACCGGGCGCAGCCATTTTGTTTCAAGCTAATGCAAATTGATAAGAGAAGTGGAATCTGATTGGTCAACAGGAGGGACATATAAGTGACATAGTTCGTAAAAGACACTGGTGGTGCTACGATCGAGACCCGAAATTTCAGCCCAGTTCGACCAAGGTGAAAACTGGACTTTTACAGTCAGTTAACTCCCTTGCTTCGGAAAGATCGATCAACACCATACTAAACGTATTCTATATCTAAATGGTAAACCAGGATCAGATTCTTAATTTCCATATTGTGAAGATCCAGGTTAGAATTGGTTATCAGCAACCCATGCTTGTCGTAAGAAGCGACTAACAGGATTGGGTGGTCAGACTTGCTGACAGGGTTGATACATGTCATCATATCCCCATTGCGTGGACCGATGCTCTTGATATCAATCACTTGAACGTCTGGTCCTGACTCGATTATTTACAGACCGCCCTCATATAGCTGGAATATTGCTGAGTGCTGCGTTAAACAACAAAGAAACAAACAAACAATTAGTTTAGTCCGCTAGTGGGCGTGGCCTATTTTTATGGAAACAAACGCAATAAGAATTACTTGTATAGTCAATCACCTGCAATTTATTTATTTTCCAATATCTCCAACTGCCATGTATCTTTTGGAAATGTGAGTGAGATGGTTTAACGAACCTTTGATCAGTATTCCAGTTACATCACAGCTTAATGTTGAAGGAACGCCCGAAGTGATGCATGTCTTCCACGTTTACCACTTTGGTGAAACCCACAAGCACGTGTTTTGCTGACAAACATAGAAATATAGTCGGTTCAAACTGGAATTCGAACCCACAATCATAGTGCACAGAGAGTTTTGGCGCCTTAGATGACCAGGCCACCTTTTTGGAAATATCTGCATATGACTTTTATCTCAATAAAATGGTTTCTTGGCACCATATCTGTGCTCATGGGTTTCACCAAAGTGGTAAATGTCTAAGACCTGCATTAAGGCTTTCCTCCACATCACTGTGATAGAATGAATACTTTAGAGAGGAATCTAAACTCCCATATTCACTTGGTTCTGTAGAAATGTGACCCGTTGAAGATCCCAGGTAGAATAGGTCTTCAGCAACCCATGCTTGCCCTTAAAGGTGACTATGCTTGTCGTATGAGGCGACTAACGGGATCGGGTGGTCAGGCTCCCTGACGTGGTTGATGCATGTCATCATATCCCAATTGCTCGGATTGATGCTCATGATATCAATCACTGGATTGTCTGGTCCAGACTTGATTATTTACAGACTGCTGTCATATAGCTGGAATATTGCTGAGTGCGGTGTTAAACAACCAAACAACTGTTGTGGATAACAGTACTTGTCAAACTGCGATGGCTTGTTAGCAGAAAGAATACACTGACAATGTCAATATATATAATTAGTTCTCCAGTGTTGGGTCTATATTAGTAGTAGTACCCATGGTAACTATATAATTGGTACATAGAGATGGCTGAGTGTTTCCATAGCATAGCTATCATATATTAGTAATAGGCTTGCATAAAACAAACTTATTCCTCATGTGTGATATTTGTGCTTTAGAAACACACAGGTAATGATCACTATACCATATGATATCATTCTTAAAATAATCAGGGGTGGTTGGGTAGCCTAGTGGTTAAAGCGTTCACTCATCAATCAGAAGGCCTGGGTTCAATTCCCCATATGGGTACAATTTGTAAAGCCCATTGCTGGTGTCTCCCACCGTGATATTCCTGGAATATTGCTAAAATCGGCATAAAACCATACTCACTCACTTGAAATAATCAATGTTTGAAACTTAATTTCGCTCAGTGAAGTACATGTAACTGAGAAAATGCGTATGAATACAATGTTTGAGTGAACCGCCCAATTTATCATGTAGTGCCAAATGATATGCAGCCATGTTTATCTACATTATCACCCACATATGAAAACAACTATCTTAAGTTATAGGCATCATTAGTTATTAGTTTATAGAGACAGCAGACATTGAATTGATCAATGGAGCATAAAAGTAGTTCCTGCTAAGTGACCTCATTTGCATATTTATCGGATTGGTTTATTTCATTGATAACAATGGCCATATTAGTTATGAATATACTTTGCCAGTATGTAAAATGTATGCTTCATCTCTGTACCCATATTATTTCATAGTATACTTCTGAGTACTCTCACAATATTTGTTTATTAATATAATATTAAGTGCAAATTATCATTGCAAATCAAAAGTTAAATGCTTAAAAAAGCACTTATATTTCAATTTTAAATAGCAAACAAAACAACACTCGCAAATATTACTGGTATCATTTATTGGCAATTTTATTTTTTGTTTGTTTTGTTAATAAGTTACTTTCAGATTTATATGTGTTTAGTGATACAGCAGAAATCTTGGTACCTTAAAACTCACAAAAGACTCTGAAGTAGGTATATTATAATTCAATGCTAATAACATAGTCACCAAATATGATATTAAGTGGATTCTATCCCATCACTGAAAGTTACATATTATATGTCATGTTTCTGGTCTCAACCTTGTAAACTTACTTATATTTGTTTATTAATATGTAAGTATTAATGTAACAACAGAGCAGATGCAGCTTGTGTTAGTTGTATGGGTTTTCTATGGTTATGCATCATTGAAGTCCGTTATTTATTATATTTGTGTTTTTTTTCCATACAATGATTCATTTCATATTTGTTTTATATTTTTTTGACAATAAAATTATATATTATTTGTAGTTCTGTTTTTCTTCTTTAAAGACCTTTCAACAGTGTTAATTGTCCCAAAGGGGTACGGGTGGCCCAGTCGTCTAAGGCGCCGCGATTCGCTGTGCAGAGTTGCATCCCTTGGGCACACAAGAAACATTTGATTGTGGGTTCAAATCCCGCTTTCCTGTGTCATGACGAATCGTGGTTCGCCCTGATTATATTTCTAGGTTTGTCAGCACCATACCCGTGCTCGTGGGTTTCACCGAAGTGGTAAACGTCTGACACCTACATAACTTCGGGCTTTCCCCCCACATTAAGCTGACACGCCGCGATATAACTGGAATACTGTTAAAAGCGGTGTTAAACCCAACTCACCCACTCACTATTTGTCCCAAAGTTTTAAAGGCCCCATGAACGTAGAGTATTTGATGCACAAGTATTTTGATATTTGAAACCTTTATTTTGGAATACTATTGGCCATAAAACAAAGATGATGTTATATGCCCCTGGGCCCACTTGCACAAAGCGATCTTTGCGCTAAGATGATCGTAACTACCATACTTTAACACAGGATTACGATAGTCTTAGCTCCAAGATCGCTTTGTGCAAGCGAGACAAGGACAGCTGAACTGCGTGTTCAGCTATTGTCTGGGATAAATAATGTTATTTTATATTCATAGCGCCATACCGATTGCCAAGTTCTTTATCGCGAAAGCGTGTGACAGCTGGAATAGTATCTGTCACGTAAATCAAATATTCCTTCTCGCTTCATCATTGTAGGGACGGATGGACTTCTCGTGAGGAGTGACGCGATGAGTTTAGTTGTGCCAGGAACCAGTGGCATTCGTCACCACTCGCCCCTTTCCGTAACCTGCAAGAAGACTCGTCCCCCTATCGATGAATGTTATGTGCGAATATACAACAAACCAATCAGAATGCGCGTATGATTTCAAGTTCTTCGTCAAAGAATCCCTCAGAAACAATTTTTGATTTTACATGTGTGTTGCATCTAAAACTATACCCAAGACACAGTTAAATGTGTTCAATCATACTGTATAATTCCGCATGTCCCGATGCGCTTTTAATTGCTTCTGAAATATATATAATATAAGGGGAAATATATGTGCGTTTGCGCTAAGACGGAACCCGGTCGCAAAAATGGCCACGCGGGGGGCACGAGTCGCTATTCGGCTTGTCCCGGAATAACACGAGTTGGTCACGAATGGAACCAGTGGGTATGAATCCCATATTGGCTGTTATGGATAGATTAATATTGTTCCGTCAGCACCATACCTGAGCTGGTGGGTTTCACAAAAGTGGTTAAAACGTCGACGTCCTGTATCACTTCGGGCTTTCCTTCCAATGTTTTAAACATCATTGCACCCAGCTCATGCACTCGCCGGGCTCACGGGCGCCCAGGCGTCGGAGGCGCCTCACTTTGCTGTGCAGAGTTGTGTCCCTTGGGCACGCCGCTTTTAGCAATATTCCTGCAATATCACGGCGGGGAACACCAGAAATGATCTTCACACATTGTACCCATGTGGGGAATCGAACCCGGGTCTACGGCGTGACGAACGAACGCTTAAACGGCTAGGCTTCCCCCACCGCCCCTGGGCACATCAGAAACCTATGATTGTGAGTTCGAATCCCGGTTTCTCCGATTTTGTTTCTAGGTTTGTCAGCGCCATAACCGGGCTCGTTGGTTTCGCGTAAGTGGTAGATTTCTGAGACATGTATCAGCACACCCTTTTCTGCCACCAGAAGTCGTAAAGATATGGTCCTTGTTGTTACCCTGTCTGGCGCTCGGCATTAAGGGACTAAAAGAAGGATTGGTCGGCTCGGAGGCTCGGAGTCAGTACGAACTAGTACAAGCAGTCTCTCTCTCTCTCTCTCTCTCTCTCTCTCTCTCTCTCTCTCTCTCTCTCTCTCTCTCTCTCTCTCTCTCTCTCACACACACACACACACACTGCACGTAGCTATATGAGTGCAATAATCATGGACGCGATGTTAAACCCAATTTCACCTCACCTCACTTTTCTGCCACATTAAGCCTTGGTATAACGCCTTGACTTACTGTTCAAAGGATTACACCGAACCCAATCAATCACTGAAAACCCCGGACGTCTGAGGCCTTTTCTACCACATAAAGCTAACATCCCGTGATGTAACTGGAATAGTGTTCAAATCAATCACTCTCGCACTCAGTAATACACGCGTTGACTTTGATTAAGTTCTATAAGGGTCAGGATGAGTGTGATGTTACACATTTTGCTGACTCGATATGTTTCGCCAGGTAGAAGAGATTTATTTACTTGACACCCAAAATACACATTTCCTTTCCAAACAAATCAGATGATAGGACAGGATGTGGCTAAATAGATGTTATTTCCGAAAAACATAATTCATCCAATTTGATGTGGGGATATAAAAATGTTTACCTCAAACATAACAGAATTATAAATGAATTAGAAACTGACCATAAATCACCCACCACTCTTTTAGTAGATGTCATTAACTAACTCACTCACACTCCATCCCACACGCTCTCTCACCCATCCACTCACCTACTCGCTCACTCGCTCGCTCATTCACTCTTTAAGCAGTCATGATAAACTTTGTAACTCACTCACTCACTCAGCCACTCGCTCACTCACTCACCCACTCGCTC